GAACCGGCTTCGTTGTGAATCCGGACCTGGTGGGACTCGGAAAAGAGCTACAAAAAAAAAAAGTGAAGCATTAGGCAGGTTTAATCCAACACCGTCTCTAGTGCAAGGGAACGGGCTGAACACGAGGCTTGTAACATCAGGCAGGGAAACCTTTCAACCGCGGCGAGTCCCTTAGTCAGAGCTTCCCCCAGCACCGAAGCGCCAGGAAGCGCCAAACGTGACTCACCTAAAACCCACCGCTCAGCAAAGAGGAGATGTTAAAAAAAGCAAGGAAGTGGCGAGGGATCACCGGCGTACATGTAATAACGCCTGCAGGGTGCAAGGGATGCCTCCGAAAGGCAGGTAACAGCCATCTGCGTCTGCCCACCGTTACAGCTCTTCTGAGCCCGAGGCGGAGACGGCCCTGCCGAGAGCGGGCGGTGCCGTGCCGCGCCGCGGGGAGCGTGCACATGCACCCTGGCACGCTCCGGGTGACCGGCTGACACTGCACAACACAGCGCGCCTGCGGCAGCAACCAACAACCTGCTTTCCAGCCGCTCACCTTTTCCACCCTCTTTATCCCAAGCAGCCCGCGACTTACTACCTAACATTTCCAGTCGCGTTTCAGAGACCTCGCAGCCTTGCCCCGGTCCCCCCTGGTGTCTCGAGAGGCAGCAGACTGCCCGCCGCGCGCCGGGGATGCTGTGAGTCCGGGCGGCGATGCCGTGTCGAGCGGCAGTGCTGCAGCCGGCGGGGCACGGAGGAACGGGCAGACAGGCTGTGTCAGGGAGAAGGGAGCTTGCTCTGAAACCAAACCCATTTTTCAACAAGCAGAGCAAGAAAAGTGTCATTAAAAGCCTCCGGGGCCAGTTGAAAGCGGTGCTCAGTGTAAAATATCCGTCACTGGCTAAGAGCCTGGCGCGTCCGGCTTGCTGAACAACGACAGAAGTGGCTCTATGCTCCGACGCCTGAGCGGTGCCGAGACCTGAAGGGAAAGTCAGTGCGTGGCCTCAAGGTGGAGCATGAGTACCAGCCGGAGAGGCAGAAAATGAAGGTACTGCATCCTCAGTACCCCAGGCAGACGCTTTCCTATGCCCGCCTCTTCCGCACGGGTGCCCGAGCCCACCGCTGCAGGTGGACAGTTGGCAGGCCGGGTCCCAAGGATCCAGTCCAAGCCACCACCTTTATGGAGCAAGGTGAGGTGCCAAAAATCAGCAGCAAGCCTCTCGCTTGCACTAATACCGCACCGTCAGGCCGTGGGCTATTCACAGCGTAACTCAAAAGACGTGCTCGTGGGCTTCCCGCCGGTAACCTATGCCGCCCTGCCAGGGTCAATTCAGCCAGAGGTTGCAGCGTTGGGCGGCCTTACCTAAAAGGTGCAATTAGATGAATGGCAACAGGACTAGCCTGACTTTTCTGAAACAAACTTATTCAAGAACTGTGTCCACTAAACAGCTTTATCCAGGTTTTTAAGCTACACTTAAACGAGACCTGCAAACGCGAGATTTTGGGTTGGTGCACGGCTGAACGACTGCTGCCATTTAATGGAAAGGCTGATCTTTGTAATAGGGGGTGGGAATTCGCAATAGATTTCCAGACTTTCTACAACGGCAGGGCTGGCAATGCGGAGAGTGGACAGGATATTTTTATCCCCGAAGGGCTGGAAAGTGAGAGAAGAAAGAGAACGGTAGGGGGACACCAAGGGAAAAAGGAAAAAAAACCCACAGAAAGTTAGGAGAGAAAGGTCAAATCAAGAGATGATCATCTAGAAGAAAGAGGCTTTCAAGAAAGTTAAGAGAGGTGAAACATTTGAAAAGGATGAATAGTCACAGAAAAGTTATGTTTAAGGGGGGGAAACACGAATGCTGAAAAAGAACTGGAAGAAAGCCATCACGGTGCAGCAGCAAGAAATCAAAGGAAGACACAGAAAATAACACTGCCGTACTGAGATCCCTTTGTTCAACGTCCAGGATCCAGGGTTTGCCGGGCTGGCAGTTTGCAGCAGACAAAGCTGAATGTTTTCTCTGGGACGCCCGAGACGCAGCAGCACCTCTCCCCGCGCCCGCTCTGCTCGGGATCGAACGGTCCCCCTTCGGGGCAAACACGAACAAGCAGGCAGCATCCGTACCACTTGGGCACCCCAATCCACCAGCCTCCCAAGCCTGTATTCGGGCCGTGTTCTGGATCTCATCTTTGTATTTCAAAGGGCCAGCTTGTAAAGGACTTCAGAGCACCCCACGTCTGCCACAGGAAAAGCAAAAGCCATTTTCAGCGGTATCGATCCGTGCCGTACTCGAGACGCCGGCGCTGCCCTCCCCGCTTTGCACTGGAGAGATCAGGAGTGAGCAAAACAGGTCTTTGAGTACACGCCTGGCACAGGTTTCACAGGTGCTTTGGGCATGCAACTTTGCTTAGATTCGTTTCAGCATAACTGGTTTTAAATAGCCTCCCTCATTGCTCATCCGGAACGGCAGCTGTCATGCCCGATACCAGCACAGAGAGCTGCCAACAGGCAGAGCGCTTTAGGGTTAAGGAAAAGGAAGATGACATCTTGAGAGCTGATCCCAGAGCCACGTGCAACTCCGAGCAGCGACCAAAACTAGTCACTACTTGGTGACCCAGAGCAGTGAGCACGCTGCCCAGCTAGAGCGCGGCGCTCACCGGCACAAATGCAGGAAGACTGGCCTCTCTGCCGAGGCCTGAGCGTGGTCATCTTACCCGTCAAAGCTTTCACTAGAACCAGCTCTGGCGCATGGTCCTGGTAACAGGAGAATTTCACAGACATTCACTTCATTTTAAATTAAACGAGTCTGACCGGGTGTTTGTGTCGAGATCCCAGCTACACGCCCTCTCAGCTCGACAACTTCCAGCCACTTGTGCGCAAACCTTCACCGTGGCACCGTGTCGTGCAGTTGTGCTAGGCAGCTTGCACCACCAAATCCCAAAGACTGCTCCAACAAAACCGTGCGGCGAACGGCACGGGGTCAGCAACCCCAGATGAACTATCAAGCACTAATAACATGAAAGGCAGGTTAAACAGCATTTGACATCATGTAATAAGTGCTCATGAATGTTAATGAAGAAACAAAGCATCACTTGCAAGACGTGGCGAGTCCACAGGCCCCTCCAGCGAGCCCTCACAAAAACCCAAAAAACCAGGGAACAATTTTGCTTTCTCCATCTCCCTCCACAACACGCGTCTCAGAAAACAGTGCTGTGTTCAGCTTCCTTGTCCAGCAAGTCAAAACCAAAAATTTCTTTTTATCACGTTAAAAAAATGCTCCCTGCATCTAAGTGCATGTGGAATATAAAAAGCAGTCATTCAGATTATTTCATATTTACCAACCGGAGCACTTGTTTTAATAAAATAAGTGAGCCAAAAATCCTCCTTCATCTACACCTCCTGGTGAATGGGGGGCAGAATTTACTCCTTAAAACTATTGACTACAAATCCAAATATTTCATAGTTAAATGCCAATATTCTTAGGAATTTTAAATCTCATGAAAGCTTC